TCTGAACAGAACTCCACTGTCACAGTAGTTGACAAATGGGATTACAATAGTTGACAAATGGGATTACATGAAATTAGTAAACTCCTTCACAGCAAAGAAAATAATCACCAGAGTGGAGAGAGCCTACAAAATGGAGAAAATCTTTGCCAGCCACACATCAGAGGATTAATATCCAAGACAAATTAAAGAACTGTAAAAATTAAACATTGAACAATCCCCACCAATCAATAAATGGGATAATGAACTGAATAGATAGTTCTCAAAAGAAAAAGTACAAATAGTCAACAAATAGTTAGAAAAATGTTCAATGTCCTTAGCCATTAGGAAAATTCGAATTAATATGTTGTGGGGTGCTTCACCAGAGAAGACCACTCAGACAAAGTTTTGCTGAATGAAAGTCGTTGCTGGCCAGTGCTACTACACAAGGATGTCAGAACCCAAGTAGCCCCAAGTCATCTCTAGGGTAAGCTTCTATACAGAGAAACCATGACCAGGGGTGAAAAGTTTAAGTTCCCAAGCTTACAGGCGGAGAGCCCCCTTAATAATTTCTATTCTATTAAGTAACAATTACTATTTTGCAGAAGCAAGCCAAGCATAACCTACAGAAGCCATAAATCTGCAGTTAGCAGGTGCTCTCCAGGACACTCTGTACCCAAGACAACTGGAGTCTAGCTGACCTGTGTTCCCATACCCTGGGCCAACTGCCTGATAATTTCAGAGACTAGAGTCAGTCTAAAGTTTAACATGGTGTTGCTATGGTCAAGAAGGTGCCCTATTACAAATATGGCTCTGTGATTTCATCAGCTGGTCAGAATGGCTATCATCAAGAAAACAAATGATGGGGTTAGAAAGATGGCCTAGCACTGGTTGCTCTTGAAGAACAGGGTTCAGTTCCCAACACCCACATCGCATGGCTCAAAACTACCTGTAACCCCAGCTTCAGGGACTCTGATGTCTTCTGGCTTTTGTGGGCACCAGATATGCACATGGTGCATATACATACATGGCAGACATTCACACATACATAAATCTTGGGGCTGGGTGTGGTGGTGCACGCCTTTAATCCCAGCACTCAGGAGGCAGAGGCAGGAGGATCTCTGTGAGTTCAAGGCCAGCCTGGTCTACATAGTGAGTTACACACACACACACACACATACACAAACACACACACAACCCCCTACACACACACTAATAAAAAAATAAAATAAATCTTAAAAAAGAAAAAATACCACAAATGCTAGAGGATGTGTTTAGACAAAATTCACACTTAACTTTTGTTTTTTTTTCATTCATCATTTCTTTCTACATCTTTGAGCTTCTTTCCTTCTAAGCCTTCTGCCTGAAATTACTTTTCTTCTTTCTTTCTTTCTTTCTTTCTTTTCTTTCTTTCTTTCTTTCTTTCTTTCTTTCTTTTTTTCCTTCCTTCCTTCCTTCCTTCTTTCCTTCCTTCCTTCCTTTCTTTCTTTTTTGAGACAGAATCTTACTCTGTAGCCCATGATGGTCTCAAATTATGGCAATCCTCCTGCCTTCCAATAGTCCTAAGTGCTGGGATTATAGTTGTGAATCATCACACCCAGTTGACATTTTTTCAGTTTTATGGGTGTGGTATATGGGTGTGTGTTCACATGTGGAGTCACAAGGTTGATATCAAATGTCTTCCTCTACTTCTCTACCTCGTTCTCTAATATAGATTTTTTTTTTTTGTCTTTTTGAGACACGGTCTCCCTGTAGCCCCAGCTACAGAACTCACTATGTAGACCAGGCTGGCCTCCAACTCACAAAGATCCACCTGCCTCTGCCTCCCAAGTGCTGGGATTAAAGGTGTGCACCACCATGCCTGGCTAAAATAGATTTTCAAAAAGATTTATTACTTTTCACTGTATGTGTGTGTGGGGGGTGTCTATGAATGTGGGTGCCCATAGAAGCCAGAAAAGGGCATTGGATCTCCTAGAACTGGAATTACAGACAGTTGTAAACTGCCATGTGAGTGCTGGGAACTGAACACAGGTCATCTGCAAGGGCAACAAGTGCTCTTAAACACTGAGCCACCTCTTCAACTCCTCCACCCTCTTTTTTTTAACTTTAATTTTTTTAATGTATATGAATGCATTGCCTACATGGCTGTAAGTGCACCCATGTCATGCAACGCCTGCAGAGGTCAGAAGAGCACGTTGGATCCCCTGGAACTGGAATTACAGATGGTTGTTAGCTGCCATGTGGGTGTTGGGAATGAAACCTGGGTCCTCTGCGAGAGCAGCCAGTGCTCTTAACCACTGAGTCATCTCTCCAAGTTCCCACTCTTCCCTATTTTTTGAGACAACTCCAGCTCACTGAACCTGGAGCTCACTGATTCAGAAAAGCTGAATGGATAGCCATTCCCCAGGATCCTTTTGTCTGCCCTACAGCACTGGGGTTAGAGTCTCACATAGAACCTGCTGCCTTTTTGTGTGTGTGTGAGTGCTGGGGATGCAAACTCATGTTCTAATGCTTATGCAGCTGGAACTGGACCACGTGATCCATCTCCCTAATCCCCTGAAAGTGTCTTTACAAATATTTTGTGTGTATGGTACTGGTATTGAACAAAGGACTTCGTACATGCTAAGCAGGTGCTATCACTGAGGTACACCCCAAGCCTCCAAAATGTCTTCCTCCTTAAAGAATCATTGAATGTAGTATATTACTGCTCTAGGGTAAGTTATTTCCTACATTGTTGCAGTCTTCTGTTCAGAAGTCTGATGCCAGTTTAAGTGCTGTTCTCATGAGGATGACTTTTTAACTCTGGGTCAACTAAGATTTTTCTTTCTTTTAAAAAATTTCTTTGGACCTGTAGAGATGGCTCAGTGGTTAAGAGCACTGACTGCAGGGTTAGATTCCCAGAGGACAGGGTTTGATTCTCAGCACCCACATGGCGGCTAACAACCATCCTTAAGTCCAGTTCCAAGGGCATCTGATGCCTTCTGATCTCCTTAGGCATTGCATGACACAGGTGCACTTACACACATGTAGGCATAACACTCATACACACAAAATAAAAATAAATTTTTAAAAATTTTTTCTTTATTTATTTTTATTTTATGTGTGTAAATGTTTTGCCTGCAAAGATTTTACTTTCGTGTTTGATTTTGTGAAGTTTTATTATAATAATGGTCCTAGGAACTGATTTCTTTTAATTTATCCTGATTAGAAGTATTAGGACTTCATTTATTTATAATCTGATATCTTTTACAATTTTGAGAAGTTTTAGCCATGAACTTCAGATATTTATCTCCCTTCTTTCTGAGCTTCAACCACACACATACAAAACTTTCGGTGTGCTTTGTATATAATGTATCTATAGATACTTTATTTATTTATTTGTTGTTGTTGTTGTTGTTTGAGATGGGGTTTCCCTGTAGCACCAGCTGGCCTAGAACTCACTATATAGACCAGGCTGGCCTTGAACTCACAGAGATCCACCTGCCTCTGCCTCCCAGTGCTGGGACTAAAGGCGTGCACTACCATGCCAGGCTATCTACTTTAAAAGAGGTTATGGAGACTGGCTTGCACAGTTAAAGAATCTGAGTTCTACAGTTCAATGCATAACCCAGAGTTGGGCTGAACATGCAGCTATTTGGGAAGTATCTGCAAGTAGATGGTTAAAGGTCTGAGCAACAAAAAGGACCAAGCAGGAACAGAGTGTACAGTGGACTCTACACACAGCACCTAGGAACACCACACTCTCTGGGAGTCAGATATGGTGGCACACATCCACAAGCCTAACTTTTGGGAGGCAGAAGGATCGTGGGTTTGAGGTTAGCCTGGGTTATATCACGAGAACCAATCTCAAAAAAAAATAAAAGAAACACTAAATGAGTCTGAGAAAGACGTGTTAGTGATCAAGAATAACAAGGAGAGAGGGAAGCCATAGAATCAGCAAAAGGGGGCTTGGGCTTCAAGTTGGAGAAGGCTGGCTTTACTAAATGCTACAGAGAAATCAAGAAAGATGCAGTGTCCTAGTTTGTTTCTCCATTGCTGTGACAAAACACTCTGACCAATACCAACTTGGGGAGGAAAGGGTTTTTTTAGTTTACATATCCCAGGTCACAGTTCATCCAGGAGCCCAAGGTAGGAACTCAGGGCAGGAACCTGGAGGCAGGAATTAGAGCACAGGGCATGGAGGAATGCTGCTTACTGGCTTGCTCCCCTGGTCCCTGCTCAGCCTGCTTTCTTATGCAACATAGGTCCACCTACCCAGGGGTGGCACCACCACAGTGGGCTGGGCCCTCCCACATCACTCAACAATCAAGAAGGTGACTCATGGACATGGCTACAGGCCAGTCTAATGAAGGCAATTCTCCAATTGAGGCTCCCACAACCCAGGTATGTCAAGTTGATACTAAAGCTGTCCAGCACATGCAGATTTTAAACAAGGCGTCTCAGGGCTAGAGAGATGGCTCAGCAGTTAAGAGCACTGACTGTTCTTGCAGAAGACCTGGGTTTGATTCCCAGTACCTACATGGCAGTTAACAACTAACTTTTACTACAGTTCCAGGGGATCCGGTGCCCTCTTCTGACCTTGGCAGGCATTGCACCACACAGGTGCACTTACATGCAGGCAATATACTCATACACAAAAAATAATAAGTATTTTTAAGAAGGAGTCTCTTCTTTTAGAGTAACTAAAGTAGAAACAGGCTCAGGAAGAACAGATTTGAGATTTTGGAGGTGGAAGCCTCCATAGACCATGGCTGCTGACTAGATGACTTGGAAGTGCCTTGAATGGCAGGTAGATGTGTGCCACTCATTGCTAAGGAAAGACAGGAAGGGAAGTGGAGATACTATGGGAACTCATTGAGTTTCTGGTTCCTGTAGACAAAAAAGATGGTGTTGTGTAAGCAGCTGGACATCTGACCTGAAGTTCAGAGAGGCATCTAGGATGCACACGAAAATCAAGTTCCATTTCAGCTTCCTGACCTGAATCCTGTGTCAACCTCCCAGATTTATTTCCAGGCTACACCTACCTGCCTTAGGTTAGTCTTGATGTTGAGACCCTCGACAAAGACATCCCCCGAAGTGATGGGCTTCTCCCTGGTCAGCATTTTGAAAATGGAAGACTTCCCAGCTCCATTGAGGCCAAGAAGGCCAAAGCATTCTTGTGCTTTAACAGTGAAGGACACCTTGTTCACAGCCAGCACCTTATCTTCATAGATCTGAGATATCGAAGACAGGAAATGCAGAGAGGAGGCTGGCAGAGAGCAGTCACTGCATATGCCTCCTAATAGGTCTGAGCTGCCCTTGGGCCCATAGAGCCTCCCATTACCCAACCTACATTCTCCTCCAACCACTGTTCCTAGCAGGGCTCAATAAAATTTCCTTTGTCCTACAGTTCCTGAATATTGTAATCTTAGCTCTCTGAGGTAAGTAAGCTTTTTCCTCTCTTGTCCCTGAAGCAAACAAAAGCCTTTGAAGTTGCCTAAAGGTTTTTTTGTTTTAACCACCAGTAGCTATAGGGAGACATGACCAACAACCTTGGGGAATAATGCTACAAAATTCCTGGATGTTTGAAGGATCTTTCAAAATTATTCCTAGGACTCTTGGGGGCACTTGAGAGGCTCCATTGAGCTTCCACAGCTCAAATCCCACTTGACTCCCCATAAATGTCTTCTTGATCCAGGAGAGGTCGAGTCAGTCATGTCTCTCCTTCTAGCCTTCCTTGAGTTTTAACAAGCATGGCTCTCATTTCCTCTCAAGTCCTTCTGTCATTCAGGGGACCACAGAAGAGACAGTAAAGGGTGCATTCTCCATCTCTGGGTGTAAAAATGAACTTCTAGGTATATTTCATTCTCAAGCAGAGAAACCTTATTGAATCTGTCTCTGTTGGAAGCCATGTGTCATTATGGGTAGGCCACAAGCCCATCAGTAGGCTGATTTAGTATGTAAAATGGCCATAAGAAAAGTGGTCTTGGGGCCAGGCATGGTGGCACATGCCTTTAGTCCCAACATTTGGGAGGCAGAGGCAGGTGGATCTCTGTGAGATTGAGGCCAGCCTGGTCTACATAGTGAGTTCTAGGCCAGCTGGGGCTGAAGGGAGACCCTGTCTCAAAAAAACAAAAACAAAAAAAAAAAACAAAAAAAGGAAAGAAAAGAAAAGTGGTCTTAGCTTTAAAGCCAAGTATGAGAGCCCCTCACAGTGGCACATACCAATAATCATAGTATTCAGGAGTTTGAGTAGGAGGATCATGAGTTCAAAGTCAGTGTAGGCTACATAGCAGAACCCTATCTCAAAAAAAACAACAAGCAAAAGAATAAAGCTGAGTCTAACTTTACCTTTGACACTTCTTTAACAACAAGTGGATTTTGCTTTCGTATACTTTCCAAATTAACCTTGATGATTTCTGCCTCTTCTATTACATCTTCATCTTCAGACTCTGTGACATCTTGGAACATTTCCTACATTCCCGAGACAAGGATGAAAAAGTAACTGTTTTTGAGCGTAGAATGTAGATCTTGACTGGAGGTAGAAGGAATGGGACCTCTCTGGAAAACCTGAAGGTACTGTAGCTGACCACAGTGCTCATGCACACACTACCACTCAGTCTCAGGAGCAACGTCAGGTATCCAAGATTAAGTTTATACTGACGTGACCATGATGGGGTAGGTACACAAGTCACATAGCATCAATTTTTGCTTAAAGCTCAGGAATGTCAAGCTCATTTCCTACTGTTTCCTCTGTAGACCTTGGCCTCTAGAAGATTCTCATAGAGCCGACAAAACAGACTATTCTCTAGTCTAGTTCATGGTTGAGTGGGGAAGAAGTGTTCTGCAAGATAAGTTGTTCCAGTAAGCCAGGGTCTTGTTCTTATTCAGCTCATGAGCTGGCCCTTCAGATACCTCAGATGACCAATATGTGGACCAGGGTCACGGGGGCTGATCCAGATTCTCTTCCTCTGGATGTCCCTGGGCATCAGCTGTCACTGTTCTGCTATGAGATTAGAACAGATGGCCAGATGGCCTCTGGGCTTCCTCTCATGAGGAAAATCAAGGCATCTAGAGAACATAGAAGGAAGCTCTGGAGCTAGGCATTAACCTATCCTCAGATGACTTATATGCTAATCTACTCACCAAATTTTGCTTCCTATAGAAGTTAATAATCCTGGATTTCAGTAACCAGAACATATCAGTTTCAATGAAGAAAAGCAGGATGATGTATACAGGTCCCAAGATAGCCAGGGCTGCCAGGTACTTCCCTATCCCAAGGGATTCCCAGGCATAGATTTTTTTTTGGACCACATAGCCTTCTACTAATATAGGATAAAACAGATGTTAGCATACTTTAGGTGATTTGTGAAGGTATTGTTTAACTTTACATATAGTAAATAAATTCACATGGTGACAAATATCACTAAAAGAAGCATTATTGTCATTGGTGCTATCACCACATCCTAGGAAATGGTAAACATGAATATTTTGTTTTCCTTGTTATACCCAATGTTTTATAAAAACAATGTAATAAACTTGAGCATGGTGGTTCACATTTGTATTGTCAATACTCAGGAGGCTGAAACAGGAAGACTGCTGTGAATATGAGGCTAGCATGAGCTATTCAGCAAGTTCCAAGCTAGTCTCTGATTTAAAAATCACAATAAAAGATGTTTTTCGCCGGGTGTGGTGGTGCATGCCTGTAGTCCCAGCACTCAGGAGGCAGAGGCAGGAGGATCTCTGTGAGTTCAAGGCCAGCCTGGTCTACATAGTGAGTTCCAGGACAGCTGGGGCTATAGGGAGACCCTGCTTCAAACAAACAAACTAACAAACAAACCAGCTGCAATGAGAGAAAAAAAAAAGATGTTTTTCATGCTGTATAGCATAAATACATATATTTTTTCCAAATAAAAAAATAAAAGGGAAGCTGGGCATTGTGGCACACACCTTTAATTCTAGCACCCAGTAGGCAGAGGCAGGCAAATCTGTGAGATCAAAGCCTGGTCCACATAGCAAGTTCCTGGACAGCTGGAGCTACAGGGAGACTCTGTCTCAAAAAGAACAACAAATGGGGGCAGGGCGGAGTGGAGGATAAGTATGGCAGTGCATGCCTTTAATCCCAGGACTTAAAAGGCAGGGACAAGCAGATCTCTGTGAGTTCAAGGCCAGCCTAGTTGACAAAGCAAGTTCCTGGACAGCTAAGGCTACATAGGAGACCCTATCTATAAATAAATTAATAAATAATAAATAAATAAATAAATAAATAAATAAATAAATAAATAAATAGGCTGGAAAATGTAGCTCAGTGGTAGCATGTTTGAGGCCATAGGTTTGAACCTCAGCAACCAAAATAAGCCCCATTAATAATAAAAGACTTCTTGTTTATATACCATGTATCTTAAATACAAAATACTTATATCCTTGAGTATCCTTTCAATTGTTAATCCTCCTGAAACTGAACTGACCACTTGTATATAGAAAAATCTCAGGAGTAGACTGGGAGGTTGCTCAGTGGCAGGGGGCTTGTTTAGCATGCAGGAGACTCTGAGGTTCCACCTCCAGCATGGCAAAACCAAACCACATCTCAGGGGGCTCTACTCTCTCTTTTTTTTTTTATCTGATCTGCCTTAAAATTTTATAAATATGCATATTTTAAAATTATACAGTAAATACATGGTTATTGGAAACAAGAAAAAAAGGATAAAGTAGGCAGTAAAAGCACTTTTTCATGCCCCCAAACACTGTAATCATTGCTACAGTTTTGTGCATAATTCTTCCATATTTTCTACCTTTTTTTCTGGTATTGGTGCTTAAACCCAGGGCATCATGCATATTAGTCAAACACGCTACTACTGAGATACAGTGCCATCCCTAAAGTATAATCTTTAAATTTTTTAATTACATTTTATTTATTTGTGTGTGCATGTGGCTGAGGAAGCCACATGTGTCATGTCACATGTGGAGATCAGAAGAAAACTTGTAAGAGTTGATTCTCTCCTTCCACCATCTGGTTCCCAGGGATCAAACTCAGGTTTTCAGGCTTGGCAGCACGTGCCTTTTCCCCCTGAGTTAGTTCATTGGTCCAGAGACTATTTTTTAAAATGAAAATGGAATAATACTATACATTATTTTCTTCAATGTGCTAGTTTCATTTAATAATATATAATGGACACTGACCACATGAGGACATACAGATGAAAATAAGTTTTTGATACTTGTATCTTTTCTTTTTTTTTTTGGAGACAGGGTCTCCTTGCAGCCCCAGCAGGCTTGGAACTCCCTATGTAGACAGGTTGGCCTCAATCTCAGAGACCTGCCTGCCTCTTCTTCCTGAGTTCTGGGATTAAAGGTGTGTACCACCACATATAGCACTTGTTTTTTTTAAAATTTTATTTATTATTTTAATTTTATGTGTATGTGTGTATTGCCTGAATGTAGATAAGTGCACCCATGTCATGCAGTGCCCGTGGAGGACAGAAGAAGCTATCAGATCCCCTGGAACTGGAGTTACAGACAATTGTTAGCTGCCATGTGGGTGCCAGGATTCGAACCTGGGTCTTCCCCAAGAACAGTCAGTATTCTTAACAGCTGAGCCATCTCTCCAGGCCCCACACCTGGCACTTGTATTATTTTATGTTGTGTATGTGTACCAATTGGTCACTTTTTGGTCACATGCAGGTTACAGTTTTTCCTCAATGTGATATTGGTCCCAGGATTCCTCATCAACCCAAATTTATAGATTCTTAAGTCCCTTACATAAAATGGAATAGTAGACCTAGTTAGTCCTCTCTATTCATAGGTTCTGCATCCATGGGTTCAACTAACAGGTAGGGTGCCAAAAATTTTCAGAAAATAAAAACTACATTTATACTGAACATGAATATCTGCAGACTTTCCCCTTGTCAGTATTTCTTTTCTTTTTCTATTTCCGTTTTTTTGGTCTTTTGAGACAGGGTCTCCCAGCTGGCCTCAAACTCACAGAGATCTGTCTGCCTCTGCCTCCTGAGTGCTGGGATTAAAGGCGTGCACCACCACACCTGGCCTAGTATTTCTTAAATAATACAGTGTAACTACTATTTACACAGCATTTACACTGTATTAAGTATTATAAGTAATGTAGAAGTAATTTAAAGTACATATGAGCAGACTAGGGTATAGCTCAGTGATAGAACACTTGCCTAGTATGCCCAAGACCCAGATTTGATCCTGAACAACACACACACACACACACACACACACACACACACACACACACA